TCCCAATCGGCACGAGTTACTGGTTGTAATTATTCCAAAAAATTATTGACGAGCACATGAGTTTTAACAAAAAAGGATTACTTCTTTTTTGGAATTGCTCATGAAAACTGTATATTTTGTTGTATGTTATATTATTAGTTCAGGATAGGTCTTCTTGTCTCATCGGTTAAATTCATTTAATTAACAGTGCAATTAATTATTGCACTTTTCCTTTTTATTACGTGTTTCGTTCGCGTTTAGTAGTTGTGAAATCGAGTATTAATTTACTCGATTTCGTCCARWAAAGCATGTAATAAATGTCTTACATGCATTGCTTCGTATTTAGTTCATTTAATCGCGATTTTATTTTTCGATATAATAAAAAAATGAGCAAGAAGACAAACTTATTCGCGACGGATAGACTCTGGCAATTAAGTGATGGCTCAAAGCCCAGTTCTTTAATTAGAACAGCCAACTTAATCAAAGGAGTCGTCCGAGATATTTTTTAATTTTTTAAAATTTTTTAAATTTTTTAAATCTTTTTTTGAAAGTCATTATAAATGACTTGTAGAGTTATATCCCGCTTAGATAATTAAGAGAACATTTTTATATATTAATCAAATCTTAGATTAGGATTTTCAGCTTCTAATATACTAATCCCCGTTTCTCCCCCCTATACTTTCTATGTTCTCATCTATGCGTGTGCCCAGGTGTTACACGTATGGGTGAGAAACGATTAGTATAGGTTTAGTTTTAAGTTTTTCTCCCCCATTTGGCGTCTGTCATTGTGCTAGTGATTGCACGGTGTACATTGCACATGTGTGTGCGCTTAGGTGTGTGCATTGTACATCGTTTCGTGATACGTAATACCGCGCTTATTATTTTTTAAAGTTATTGAATAAAAATAACTTGTAGAGTCCCGCGTACAATACAACAATCGTTTTGCATAGTAGAGTTTACCGCATTTATTTGTGGAAACTATGATATACTCGTATATAACTAGTATGCAATATATACTAGTGTATACTTGTATTTTTGCTATAGTCATTTTTGCAATAATCACTAGCCTTGACAGACGATTACAGCAATTGGTACGTACTCCCATAAATTTAGAAAACGCGTTTGAACTGGGGTGTCGGAGGTGCCCCGGGGCATGCTCTCTAGTTTAGGCTATTGCACCCTGGTGGTATGTGTGAGAATCGTGGAGTGAGTGGGTGGGCATGCATGTATATTTTTTTAGAGCGAATGTGAATCTTTAATTATAAGTAGGTAGGAGCCCGGAATTGCACGTGGTATACTTGCACTTTTCAGTGCGATTCCCCACCTCCGGGTTTTGCACGGAATTGTCACAAAATTATATCTTTTTATTCTATCTTGCTTGACTTGTAAATCTTTTTTGTGACAATTTCGTAATATGTATTATGTATCATGATTCAAAGGGATTTGCAACCATTTAAGAAATTCATTTTTATTTCGATTCCATCTCGAACGAGATAGAGTTGAAATCAAATCCGCAAAACCTTTGATGAATTGATACTTAGTTTTAAGTATTATAACTAGCACTTCGCACTATCGCGATTTAGTCTTTGAGAAATGTTTCATATGATTCAATATAAGGAATAAATTAAATAAAAATATTGCAAAGAAATGCATTGCATTTTTAGTATTATTTTTATTTCAATTCGATTATATTACCGGATAGTAAAAAAGTGCGAAGTGTTAATAGGTCATCGATTAGCATAATTAACTGCTCGGACATTCGATTAAATGTGCTCGTGTAATATGTGCACAGTCGATGAACTTTTAAGTTCGTTGATTGTCCACGAGCTAGGATAGCTAACGGRAAACGCGAATGAATTTTTTAATAATTAATAAATAGAGTCACACTTAACGCGCAAACATCGGAATTTTTATGTAAAAAGCTCAGGATGTTTTACTAATCACATTTTTTTTTCAGGGTTGTGTTAGGCTTGGTTAGGTTTTTTTTTCATTTATAATCAGGGACGATTCTAATTCTATATCATTAATCGTTTTAATATGACAAATTATGCGAATACTTTTTGGAACGATTGACGTTTTTGGTCAAAGATTCTTTTCATGCTCGCACGTAGGGAATGTCCGACAGTAGGCTTGAAGAAAGAAGAGGCTAATAGCCGAAGAGGCCTCCACAAATTTGTGGTATCAAGTGGGCAACTACAGACTTAATGAGTTATTTTCAAATTCAACAGCATGGTTGAATCTTTTGAGAATAGCTCGTTGGTCATTTTTTATTGCTTGATTTTTCTTTGCTCGTCAATAATTTATAGTGGTTTTTTAAGAATGGAAGTAACTAACATAGTTTGCTGAATGTTTCAGGTTACCATCGTGGGATTTGCCATATCACCCACCACACATCGAACATAATTTTTCCTAAAAATAAATCGAGTTTTAACAAAATTTGATTTTAACTGATTTTTCATTTAAAAGATAGAAAATACTTTAAAATCATGATAGAGTACAATACCATTCCCGAATTATCGATCCAATATCATATCATTTTATAATTTCCTATTACACACAATTTCCCCACTTTTCATTCATCATTGCATTCGTAGAAACTAATTATCTTATAATGTTTTTTAATATCTCTTTTATTTCTTTTTAGGGGTATAAAGATTTAATCAATTATTATATTATATATTAAATTAATTTTTATTTAATTTTTGTTTCAGGATATGATTAATTCCCATTACATTTGTAAGTATTGGATTTTGATCTAAAAAAAGGAACATGATTTCGATGCATTCATTGCATCTTTGCAAATCTAAACTAAACTTTCTTCTTTCTTTTTCAGGTTCGTTTCCAGTTTTTTTTTCAATGGGTAGCGGGTAGATTTTTTCTTTGCGAAGAAAAGTCTACTTCAGGGATGCGRCCCTGCCCACGCGAGCCTTGATTCTATATTACCTCCAAAGATAGAATCATGTCATTACCTAAAAATTCCACCTACAACAAACGATCGTTTTTTTAATATTTTATTGGCAGGATGAATTATGGAGACAATACAACACTCCGTCCAAGARAAAGGAGAAACGAATCGAAAGAGGACTCAGTTATGGTAAATGGTAGCATGACATAATTGTTTTACTTTTTCTCTAGTTTCCTTTATCAAGAATAACCATGGAGACGATGAAAAATTCCGTTCAAGAGGAGGAGGAGGAAGTGGACTGGAAAAAGACTGTGAGTAATGGTAAACGGTAATAGAAGATAATTATTTTAGAATGTWATTGAAATATTTTAATCCGTTTATTGTTTTCTCCGTAGCATTGCACAAGTATGATAGTTATTTATAATGCATTTTCTTTTCTTTTTTTTTCCAGTTATGTACCAAAAATTTTGTACATTTACTTTTATTATACTATATTCCAGGTAGATTGAAAATTATTAAACATAAAATATTCGTAACTTGTAATCTCCGTATGTGCATATATTGAAATTATACTAGGGTATGTATGTATTCAATAAAATCCATCGATGTTACTTCAATTCCATTTAGGTTCACTCCCCGTTTTAATTTTGTTATTTAATATTCAAACTTTTCTCTTTATTCTCGATAGTAATTGTAAGGATTTTTCGAATTAAACTCTTAGGGTGGGGTCTAAGAGTGGGACTCATTAAAAAACGTTCTCTGGGTGATCATTTTCTTTGGTTTCAATTTCATTCGGATGTAGACATCTTCAGGATGCACATCCCTCGTGGGTCTTCAGAAGCGGTTACCTCCTCGTGGTTAGACCCGGGCAATGGTATATTACTTTCCATGCAATGTTTATCATATGTTATATGCTATACATTCCATAGCAAGTAAAATCCAGCCAAAAACCGCTTACTTTATAATGTTTTAATTTTCATTTTCTGTGTATTATTGCTGTATTACAAAGTATCAATAGTTACAATCATTTGTATTAAATAATAGCATTGCACTTGATGTACAACATTTGTGTAAAAAAAATGTAATAATCGTTTGGCGATAAACATGGTTTAGGTATTATCACAAAATAAGATTGAATAAGAAGATAACATTTTTATTTACTATACTTTTAAAGCACAATTCTCATTCGGCATTCATTATTACTATTTTATTTCATACTTTTATGGCATAGGCTCGATTTCCACATATACAAAGTAGAATTAATAAAGGAACATAAACAAATTCACAATCCATACGCGACATTCATCATTACCATAAACAGAAACTAAAGAGTATTACATTTTTTCGAATCAATGATACAAAACTGCAGAATCGTGATTCGACTATTTTAAAAGAGATACAATTAATATTATTAAATATTATTTTATTCTTATAGACACACCAATTCAGAATTTCATACTAAATTATTTTAACAAGAAAACAAATATTTTTGTCAGCTTATGAAGATTTTTATATTTTGATAACTTCATGTATAAAATGAAGATAAACTATAATAACAAAGTGCCTAATGAAATATGCCTAAATTTTTGTTTAATGAATATTTATTACAAATCTGTCAATATTGAATTATTTCTAAGTGAAATAGTAAATAAAATAACATAATATTTTGATTTCAATATTAACAGTGACTTTTTAAATATTTGTTCTTAAACATATATTCTATATTTCGTAAAAAAACATTCATGAATAGGACACTTTGTTTATGTATATTCCTTTTTGTTAATATGAAATATAAGAGAAGTAAAAGGAATTGAATAGATTTGAACAAATAAAAGAAAATAGAAAAGAAAAGAAACGAAAAAAAAAAGTGCGACATAAATTTTAAACAAAACAGATCATTTATCATTTATCATTCATTATGTTAACATATACTGAATTTAATATATATTGTTTGTGTCTCTAAATGTGGAATTGTTATGAACAAATCTAAGTAATTGTCCAATTGCTTAATAATTAAATGTTTTATTTTAATAAATGAACGTAAAAAAAATTCAATCAATCAATATTATTAATAATAATTTCTACGTTCGATATCATTTGCAAAATGTAATTCCATATGCATCAATATTTCTCAAAGTTAGAATATTGATTCCTTAAACTTTAAATCATCATCTTATATCCTTCTTCGTAGAGAACGTGAAAAACGTGGCATCGAATCTCAAAAACTGTTGTAATTACTACCTCCTAATTGACTGCTGAATCCTCTATTTGGAGAATATCCTGGCCTAAAGTTATTACCCAAACCTAAAAATAGATATAAACAATAAAATTTAGTATGTATAATTAATTCAATAATATCTTGTGTGAATAACATGATACCAATATATATATATATATATTTTAAAGTTATTATTAATTTAAAAAAAAAAACAATTTATATACCTCCACAAAAGTTCCCTATACCACCCAAAGACATTCCACTCGAACTGTTACTCGAGTTAAGGAATAACTCTATGTATCTGTAAGACATATGGCTTTTGTCCTGTAATATTATATAGATATATAAATATTGTATACAGATACATCTATATCGATTTATAAATATATCGAAATTATAATAATTCAAGTAACTCAGAATTCTTAAGAGTACTCTACAAGATAACTTAACAGTACTCTAAAGAGTAAAAGGTTAAAAAAATTAACAGTTTGTTTAACCTTGCACATAGCTCTAACAGCTTCTTCGTGGGTTTCAAATTCCACGTCTGCCTCACCGGATGGACGCCCACCATTTTCCAAAAGAATCTTAACATTTATCGGCACAACAGGCCTAAAAAACTAAATTTACATATATTTAATTAATAAACGATTGTTCCATTCATATTCTTTTTAATAGATAATTATAATTGACAGTAATTTCGATGTACTTACATCTGCTATATCATCTTCTGTTGCTTTGAATGGTAAACCTCTCATATGTATACTATGAAGACCAGTATTATTGCCCCAATTATCACCACTTCCTCTAAAATTTCCTCCTTTCATGTCCATTCCACCGCGCATACCCATTCCACTACCACGTGAATTAAAGTTATTTCCACTTCCCCAAGGGCCACTATCAAAATCTGCAATATATTGCATATAAAGGTAAGCAACAATTATGATTCTCTCAATATTTATTTAAATCTTATGAATACCTCTATTTCTAGATCCTCGGCTATTGTTACTAAAACGATTCATGCCTCCAAAACGATCACCACGATCATAAGGTGCAGGTCTTTGATTAAATCCACCCATTGGACCACGCATTTTTGGTCCTATACTAGCACGTACTTCAGACAAACTGCTTCGGAAGATTTCAATGTATCTGTTAATAATTAAATGTATTAATGAGTATGTTTTATGCATTAAACTGATTAAATATTATTTTTTGATAATAATGTAATTAAACATTGAAAAGTATATAACTTCAAAAAAGAGAGAATTAATACTTGTAAACTATGTGTTCAAATTCATATCTTCAATAAGTCAAAGACAGTAGTGCTTTCGTATAAAGAAACAAAATTTAAAAAAAAAGTAGGAAACCTAATGTTTTAAATCAATTTTGTTGTAATGAAACAACTATGCATACTACACCTCCACATTTATTTTAAATTTCTGTTGACACCCTTCCACGATGACATTGCTTTGATGAATTTATGCCAACCTTAGCTCTTGTCATGCTAGGTCTTCAGGCAAATGACACTTGCAATTGCACTTTTTACAGTATGAATTTTCTTATAATTTATCTTATTGTAAATCAATACGTACAATTTAATTACTTGTATTCTACTTTTTTATGTAATTAAAATAAACAAAAAATAAATACAAAAAAAGAAAAAGAAGAAATTTTTTCCAAATATTTACGACATTTAAGAATTTACGATATATATAGATATATATCTATCTTGTGCTTTGTAAGAAAAGTGCAATTGTTAGTATGAGGCAGAAGTACCAAATTGATTTTTACTACCTCTGTAGTGCCCACCCATCCTGGGGCCCTACCCACCTCCCATGGGATTTGATGACGATGTCACGGGATACTTCCCGCCCAGCACCCACCCACAGGTTTCAGTTGGGCCAACAGTACTTTTGCTTACGTATGTTTAGCCTTATTTTGATTCTACCCTCCAAGAGGCAGTTCCTTTACATAATCATTTGATATAAGTGTTTGTATTTATTTAAATAATGGTTACTTCCTGAATTACCAGGACGTGTACTATAATATTGAGTGAATAGAAATAAACTGTGTGTCATTTTTAAAATAATTCGTAAAGATAGTGAATTTAAAGAAACTGCTTCTATATTTAAAAAAACTGATTCCCGCTATTGACTAACAAAATGTATATACCTACGTATACTATGATCATAAAAAAATGATATTGAAAAATCATAAATATACCCAAACCCAGCTAGCGTCAGTGCCCCACCTGTGTCCTATCTTTTCCTTGTGTTTCTGCAGAGCGCGCTCCGCAACATCTTTGTTTACAAACTGAACGTAAGCCTCCCCAGTACTGCGGCCCGTGTAGTCTGTCGGTAGTGAAATCCCGTTCGGCAATATCTCCAACCCTGACCCACACATAATCAAACATCGATATTGTAGCGTAATACCCAATTATGAGTTAAAGTATCAAACCCTTATTAAGCACAATTTACTTAGCCTTTGCAGATATTTATTAAATTGTCTTACTCCAATTTCATATTCTTTCTTGCAAAGATGAAGTAGAAGCAGAACTTTTATATTTTAACTCAGCAGTTCAATGCTATTTTATGGAATCAATATACGTTGTAATTAAAAAACAAAATTCACGATATGATATGTTATTGTAACTAAAATGGATAGTAATGATATGTAGAAACACAGAGACACTGCTTGGGATGGATTAAAATTTGAATGTATTAATAATTGGTAATGTTAATGGTAAATTACGTATACTCATTAATAATTGAACTAAAACAAATGTATCTTCAAATATATATCTTCACAAATATATCTTCAAATATATATCTTCACAAATATATCTTCAAATATATCTTTCAATACTTTCAATACAAATATTTATAAATATGATCCTAATAAATTATGTTTAAGTAAAATAAATTTTGTTAATAATGTTATTCACTTATAGTCACAACAATATATTATATTGTATTGACAAAAAATACTATAATACATAAATTTTCATATTTAATTGAAAAATTAATTAGAGATAAAAATTTCTTATACTAATAGTAAAGTTTTCTTTATCATTTACTGCATTGTATATTGTTAACACATGCACACACACTTATAAATTTGAGTGCTACACATTAACAATAAAAATAGAAATATTACCAAGTTATAATTAAACAGTGGAACCACCATCAAAAGCATTTAGTCCCTGTGATTCAGAATTATAGTAATATTATGATTTATTTTTAGCAATATGTGCCTTAAGAAATGAGACTATTTAAATTTAAAGAAAGAAATATGTGCTGGACAATTTTTTTGAACCAAAAGCTAATAGTACTTAGTAAAAACTGTCAATCATGAACAAGAAAAACAAATTATATTAACATATAGATAAAAATATATGAAATACCTGAGAAAAATTGTGCTATTTCTTCTTTGGAACAACCGAATGGTAGTCCACGTAATCTGACACATCCATCGTCCATTGCATTTTCTAAATTTAAGCCACTTCGTTTGATTACCCATTCCATTTCTCCTCTTTTTGCCTTGAAAACTATTAAAAAAAAAAAAGCAACATAAGATATATTAGTTACATCTTGAAAATATTTTTAATAAGATAAGCAGTATATATGCATACAGATTAATTAACATATTAAACACTATATCGGTCCTCACAGACTGATCTTAGACTTTTGGTCTTCGCATCAGTCACCAATAGCTAAAATTCTTATGTATTTTTATAGCCAACAGGTCATCGTAGTCTAAATGGAAATGATTATATACAATATTACATATACCTTCAATGTATCGATGTCCCATATGATCTCGATCTCTTTTGCAAGCTTTTTCTATATCTTCTGGGGTATCCATCTCTACATAGGCTTCCCCACTGGGTCTTCCTTCGCGTGACATAGTCATATGTACTCCCTCTTTTCCATTGGTTATGGAACAATCTCCAAAAAATTTCATTATTTCGTCAACCGTAGTTGACCATGGAAGTCCACGTATTTTAACGACATATCCCTCGTCATCGTGATCTCCACCGCCATTTGACATGGTTTATACTTCAAGAGAAAACAAAAATGATATTTAATATAATCCACGTGTATCTGCGGATTCTTAATTTACTAAATAAAGAATTAAATAATTTATAAACAATTTTTTTCTTATACTTATTGATTATATATAAATATACCTATGCTTCTAATTACTTAAACACTTTATTAGATGACTATAATAAAGAAAAGGCTTAACCCTCCAACCACAAGCTAATTTTATTCGTTATATAGATGTATCCTAAGAATTACATTAAAAGAGACAAAAAAATAAATCAAAAAATTGAAGAAAAGAAGAGATTTTCTTAATATCGTATTATATTTGTAGGAAATATGACTAACGTATTTTATAGAAAATAGTAAAAGAAACTTATCGATAATTCCACTAAACTTTACAAAATATTTGGACCGCAAATTCCACGTTGCCTGCGATTGTAGGGTTAATAATAATATAATTATAATTACGGTTAACAATATTTTGTCTTTATAAAATTATACTATCGATATTATCAATTTCTTAATGCGTAAAACCAAGATTTCATAACAAAAATTAACTACACTAGAATAATTTTATAAGACGCCCCAAGTTGCGATAATATTTTCTAAGATAATCTAGCATTAAATAAATTTTAAAAATTGTTAATCTTACTTTATTTATATTTAGAAGTTTAGAAGAACTTTAACTTTTTGATTAATTGTAATAAAATACAATAACGAAAATTCAAGGGCAATTTCGACAGATTTTCTATATCACTACCACAGATTTCACGACACCAACCGACAAAATGGCGCTCTCCCAAATGGCTTCCCTAACACTTCGTTTCCATATAAACGCCCACGTTTATATGGAAATATTCTTGAGCAAATGTAAACTGCACTTTAATGTAAATCATTTGTTTGTGTTATTTTCATTCCAAAAGTGAAGAATAATACCTAATTATTATCATTAACAATTTATTTATATTAAATGTGATAAAATAATATGAAATATAGTTAACATTTTTTTTGTTCAGTGCAATGCATCCATCAACCAATCAAACAACATAGACATCACATAGACATTTTTGTATCATATCATATAATATATCTATTTCTGCTTACTAATAGTAATTTAATGCATACAATCTCATATTGATAACTTTAATGATACAGTATTTGAAACAATATGTCATTTTAAGTCATTTTCAAGTCTGTGAGCGTTGACAATTTCTTGGAGCTTGGAATGATTAAATTTGAGTGTTATTAATTAGCAGGTAATACAAATAATAACAATATAAGACAAGCTTTTTCTTCATAAATAATTTTCATATTGAATGATGCTTGTCTCAAATTGTAACAAATTTTCTGATAATAAATTATTTACACAATTTTCTTAACAATGTATATATTTATAATGTATATAAAAAAATGTAAGAATTTATTAATCTTAATATACTATCAGGAATGATACATTTATATATATTATTTTAATAATAATGTCTCTTTGATTTTGACAATTAGAGAAAGTAATGTTGTAATAACAAACTTGTAAAGCAAAACATTTTCTATCATGGAAAAAAAGACCAATCCTTGTTTGGATCCAAATGCATCGCTTGGAATTGATCAAGCATGTTTAAGTATTATAAATAAATATAAACAAAATCTTACATTCTACTCTACCTTTTCTGAATGTAGGCTGGTACGTATTTATAATAAAGCTAATGCTATCATTTAAAACATCTATATATGCACGATATAATACTTTCATTATTTATCTTATATAGTGTCGTGGAATACCAGCAGCCAATTTACCTGCAGAAAATGTCACATCATTATTAGTGTCTACAAAATATCCACTTCACATGTATTATATGAATAAATATGAATGGTGCCAGTAAGCAAATAATATATATACTTAAATAGTTAAATATTTTCATTAACACGTTAAATGCCATGTCGGTTTCAATGGACTAGCCTTAGACTTTTCGTTCAAGCTGCATCAATCACCATTGGTTGACATTCTTGTGTGTTTCTTCAAATAACAGATTATCGCGGCCTGAACAATAAGCTAAACAAAAGAAGCTTGGCGCTTAACATGTTAAATTTTTCACTGCGCATATAATTATACATTTATTAACTTCTATTTAGCACAACATATACGTTCAAAGAACATGGACGATATGGGTGGAATTTGTCTGCCGAGGAAATATGTTCAGATATTTATTTAATTAATAATCCATCGAATGCTTATTTTCGTAAGCTATATATATATATATATATTTATATTTTAGAAAAAATCTTTTTAACATATTTTTCTCTGCTTTTATATATAAATAATTATTTTATTTAAATTAATAAAAATTTTATTTTCCAGCGTTAATAGCAGCATTATTTTTATTAATTATGTCAATAATTGTAATACAAATAGGAAAAGTTATTCTGAGAGCTATAAAACATTATTTTCGGCGGGATACAATATATCTTCATGATGTACGTACATAAAATACATATATTAATAATAAAATGTATAAATATTTTTTTAAATAACATCATATTATCTTGTAAATCTATTATTATTATTCTTAAGGATTTATCCTTCTTACAAGAATCTGAAAGACCAATTCAATCAGCAATAAATGTAACTCGATTAAGTACAAGAGTCCAGTCAGTTGATACATTTAGAGGGTAATAATTCTTTCTCTAAACTTGAATTTATTTTATATATATTCTAATATTATTTTATCTTTACAATAAAATATTCATATCTTTCTTTTTAGTATTGCAATACTGCTAATGATATTTGTTAATAATGGAGGAGCAGAATATGTATTTTTCAATCATAGTCCTTGGTTTGGTCTTACTGTTGCTGACTTGGTGCTTCCTTGGTAAATTATTATTAATTAATTTTTTTTATATGATTAAATCACATATAAGTTTATATTACAGGTTTGCATGGATAATGGGTATGACAATAGCAATATCAAAGAGAGGAGAGTTTCGTTATACGTCTTCACGAATAAAAATAATTATGCGTAATTTTACCAGAACGTTAATGTTAATATTAATTGGTTTAATGCTTAACTCTCACAAAATATTTTCAAATTTCCAAGGAAAAAGTTACTATTTAGAAAATCTTCGTTTTCCTGGCGTTCTACAACTTTTGGCAATTTCTTATTTTGTCTGTACTGTATTAGAGACACTATTTATGAGAACGCCTATTTCGGTTCGTTTTTTTTTATTTATTATACACAAATATTTTATATGTATATATATTGTACAATGAAAACAATGAGAAAATAATACTTTTAAATTGATTATTGCAGCTTGGACGATTTTCCATTTTAGAAGATATTTTAAACAATTGGATTCAATGGTTAATTATTTTAACTATTGTTGTCATTCATACTTTAATAACTTTTCTCTTGCCAGTCCCAAATTGTCCAAAAGGATATTTAGGACCAGGAGGATATGATACTTTTCAAAAATACACAAATTGTACTGGCGGTGCAGCTGGTTATATTGACAGATATGTTTTTGGCAAGCATATGTATAATAATACAAACAATCTTGTATATGGAAATATATTACAACATGATCCTGAAGGTATGTTATTATTCATTCAAGAAATATATGTGTTTTTAATATATACACATTCTACATATTTAAAATCATATTTTTCAGGGATAATGAATATTATCTCAGCAATATTTATCGTATACTTAGGAGTTCAAGCTGGACATATCTTACTACATTATTATCAATGTAAATCTAAAATTTTAAGATGGTTGTTATGGTCGTTGGTTACGGTAAATAATTTGTCTATGTTATGCGTTATATACATACACGTATAGTCAAATTTATCACAAATTCCATTTGAGTCTTTTTATTAATGATAAAAATGAAAGTGTGTGGTAAACAGATAAATATTATGTAATTATATTAATTTAGGGTATCATCGCTGGATTTTTATGCAACTTTAGTCTAGTAGATGGTGTAATACCGCTTAGCAAAAAAATGATGACACTTTCGTTTGTATTAACAACAAGCAGCTTTGCTTTCCTTTTATTTGCCATCTTATATTATTTAATTGACTATAAGCAATTTTTCACTGGAGCACCATTCGTATATGCAGGTTTGTGAACGATAAAATTTATTTATGGTTTTAAACATTCATATTTTTTTTAATTTAAATGCATTTCCATGTGTATATATATATATATATATATATATATATATATATA